AAGCCTTAAAAATATTGCTCATCTGAATCAAACTCATTGTGCTACCCCCTTTCATTTCTGTACCCCATTTACTTCATTGAAAAACAATAAAAAAAGAATGTTTAAAAAAAAAAAAAAAGACCTTCCGCAATATCCCTAATAAAAATATTAAAGAGAATGGGTCCAAGAACAGATCCCTGATGTACCCCACTGGTGACAAGTCTGTGCTTCGAATATACTCCATTAATTACAACACTCTGTTGCCTGTCACTCAACCACTGCCTTATCCATTCAACAATACTGGAATCCAAACTTAAAGATTGCAGTTTATTGATAAGCCTTCTATGTGCAACAGTGTCAAAAGCCTTAATGAAATCTATGTAAGCATTGTTGACTGAACCACCCTGATCTATTATTTTAGTTACCCAATCAAAAAAATCAATAAGATTAGTTTGGCATGATCTCCCTGAAGTAAACCTATGTTGTCTCTGAGCTTGAAATCCATGTGTTTTTAGATGTTCAACAATCCTATCCTTGGTCCATGGTTTCCATTACTTTCCCCACTACTGGAGTAAGGCTTTCTGGCCTATAGTTGCCCGACTCCTCCCTATTACCTTTCTTGTGAATGGGCACAGCATTCGCTAACTTCCAATCTTCTGGGAATACTTCTGTTAACAATGATTGGTTAAGTAAATCTGTTAAAGGGATCCTATAGTGCCAGGAAAACAAACCCGATTTCCTAGCACTATAGGCTCTTGGAGTGCCCCCCTCCCTCGTGGCCCCCCTCTCTCAGTGCTGAAAGGGGTTAAAACCCCTTCAGCCACTTACCCTAATCCAGCGCCGAGGTCCCTCGGCGCCGGTGACCTCTCCTCCTCCGCCAACGTCAGCTCCTGAGTGGAGCCAAATGTGCATGTGCGGCCAGAGGCAAAGTATTACGCTTTCCTATGGGGATCTTATTTGATGCTGGACTCCGTGATCGTCAAATAAGTGTGATTTACTCAGTGTAAATCGCAGAAGCGGCCTATAGTGGCTGTCTGGGAGACAACCACTAGAGGCTGGATTAACCCTGCAGTGTAACATTCAGGCAGTCAGCTAGACCTTTATTCTCTTCTACATACCTTCCTTCTTTTGTTTTTAATCTAACTAATTCTTATTTTACTTTCCTTTTCTCATTTATGTATCTAAAAAATGTTTTGCTTTTTTCTCTTCTGTGTGTGATTTGGACGCTATTATAACTTGCTTAGCCTCTTTCTGCTTAATCTTATAGATCTGTCTATCTTCCTCACTCTGGGTTTTTTTATAAATACTAAATGCTAACATTTAGGTTTTTTTACTATTTTGGCCACATCTGCAGAGTACCACAGTGGTTTCTTAAATTTTTTGCTTTTATTGACAAACCTAATGCAATTTTTTGTTGCCTTCAGCAGTGAAACTTTTCAATAATCCCATTTCTCTTGGACTCCATTTAAACTGCTCTAGTCTGATAAAGACTCCTTTACACATATTCTAATTTTAGAAAAGTCTGTTTTTCTAAAGTGTAATCTTTTGTTTTTGTGTGGTGTGACTGATGATCACTGGAACCAAAACTTTCACCTACAGTAATATCTGATACCAAATCTCCATTTGTTAACACTAAATCTAGTATGGCAGAGTTCAGAGTTCTGAAAAGTGGCAAAACAAGAGAGAGGGAGGGAAAATTATGTAAATGATACAGGAATCTTCACCAATAAGCTAATACCTGGCACTGGGAGCCCTACAGATGTGTAAGTGGTTGTGGCGGCAGTCCGAGCACTGGGAGTCCTAAAGATGTGTAAGTGGTTATGGTGGAAATCCTGGGACTGGGAGGTCCTACAGATGTGTAAGTTGTTGTGGTGGCAGTTCGGACCCTGGGAGCCCTTTAGAAGTGTAAGTGGTTGTGGTGGCAGTCCGGGCACTGGGAGGTGGGAGTCCTATAGATGTGTAAGTGGTTGTTTTGGCAGTTCTGGCACTGGGAGCCCTACAGATTTGTAAGTGGTTGTGGTGGCAGTCCGAGCACTGGAAGCCCTAAAGATGTGTAAGTGGTTATGGTGGAAATCCTGGCAATGGGAGCCCCCTGCACACCTACTTGAGTTACTGCGTGATTACCAAATTTGAACGTAACCCAAACAGACTCTATGTTCACCTCACTAACTTTTATAAGGCTAGATTTTATGCTATCCTTCACATACAGGGCCACCCCTCCCCCTTCTTGCCTTCCTTGTCTTTTCTATATAAAGAGTACCCTGGTATTGCTATGCCCCAGTCATTTCTCTCCTTATACCATGTCTCAGTAACAGCATTAGCCTCCAAAGTATCTATGACAACCAAAAAACCTGTGTTAGTTCACATATAGATTATAGCAGAGGATCCAGTCAGACAGGACAGGACCAAGTCTAAAGTATGTTACTAAAGGCTCTGCTATATGACCTATGACCTTTCTACACTAGTTTCTGAAAATATCTTTCTATGTTAGTGGCACGTAGCACATGCATGGATGATTAACAAGTCTTTGTTTTTATATCCCATTTACCTATTTATGTTTCTCTGGAGGGAAAATTTCAAACTGAAATATTAAAATATTAAAAAAGATGCATTAAATGTTCAGATGGTCAATTTCTCTTTGAGATCTAATCTTGCTGTTCATCTTTCCAAATCCATTTGGATATCATTTCTTTTTTTTTTTTTTTATCTTTATTTTTGTGCATGGCAAAGTATTATCAAGTAAGAACACACAGGATTTGGTACATGTATGAAGCAGAAGGAGGTACAACATAACTATACATAGTTTATACGGAGTGGTATTCCACTTCATGTGTTGCTCTAGTCGAATATACATGCCTGCATCAGGTTTGTCAGTTGATGTCAGGTTTTTCTTATTTCTTATTTTAAAAGGAATAATAACGAATAAAGAGTTACGAATCAGCTTGGATCAGAAAAGTACGATCCGGATGTCTGCAGTTAGTTATCCTCTCGCTCGTGAGAGCTGAGCAGTGTCAGTCACCTCTAGGAACCTGCCAGGCAGGGTGAGACCACACAGCTCTCCATATCCCATTCCCATGACATCCGCATTGGTCAAAATCCTCTCGAGTGAGGAATGGAAAGGAGAGAATAGTCAGAGGTAGAGTGAAATAGAGAAGAGAAAGAACTGGAGCGAAAAATGAGCATAAAGGAGAAAGGAGGCGGGTTACCGGGGGTAGCCGAACAGCATCCCCAGAAGAGACCGGGGGCAACCCATAAAGCAACAGGTGTTTAGCGAGGTGTTATACAGTGTGGCTGAAAGCTAGGGGGTCGTCAAGGGGGTCGACAATCATCAAAGTGGCACAATCGTTGGAGTCCTGCGCATTCCAAGTTTTTGAAATCTCGAGCTCTCATCCCAGGAGGGAAGGCTCTGTTTTGAAGCAGGGACATCATTGGAGAAGGGAGTTTCGCTAGACCGTATTTAACTTAAAATTTGTCCCAGATCAGGATGGAGTTTAGTATTGCCGGGCATTCGGTTTTTAGGAAAGCCCTATGTTCTTTAGGTAGCTATATTTAGTATTGGGGGAAGTCAGAGCCTGTCAAAAGTGCTTCTAGGTCTACCCACCGTCTCTCCATAGTGCTACCTGTGTCAGTTCTGCAGCTAGATAATAAGAGAAGAGGTTGGGAAGGCCCAAACCCCCTCTGGCCTTTGAGCAATATAAGATGTTTCGGGACACTCTGTGGTGTTTATTCTACAAGATGAAGGTTCCAATTGCTTTCTGGTGTGGCGCTAGATCTGATTTAGTGATGGGGATTAGTATAGCTTGGAAGAGGAAGAAGAGCCATGGAAGGATGTTCATTTTGACTGAGTGAACTCTCCCAATCCAAGATATGGGTTTGCCCACCCATTTAGTTAGGTAGGTAATTAGTGTCTTAAATGTGGGAATGTAATTCTGAGGGTACAGCTGTTTGGGGACGGCTGTTAAACAGACTCCTTGGTATTTAATAGCTGTGCGGTTGATTTGTATGCGATGTATTGTGGTTATGAAAGTCGTTTCTGTTTCGGTCATATTGAGCAGAGAGGGCGTTTCATTTCACAAGGTTGACCCTGTATCGTGACAGGCTACTGTATTTTTCCAACTCTTCTGTGAGGGTTTGCATTGCTCGTTCTGGTTGCGTTAACGTAAGGAGGCTATCATCTGCATATCCCGAGACTGTAAATTGTTCGCCACCCACCGTCACCCCATGGATATCTGGGTGGTTCCTGATCTTATGCAATAGAGACTTGAGAGCCAATATGAACAGTAAGGGGGAAAGCAGACAGCCTTGCCTAGTCCCGTTACTAAGTTGGAAGGCCTTATTTGATGCCGCCGTGATTTTAATCTGGGCTTTGACATCTGTATACATCGCCTTAACCGTCTGAACAAAGGGTTCTGGAAAGCCTGGGTGCGACAGTAAAGTAAAAAAGTCTGGCCACCTGACCCTTTTTCGGTGTCGAGCACCAGGATCAGGGAGGGAGGTTTTGTTTGTGTCTATCTCCATATCTATGTTTCGTCTCATATTGTCAAACAACTGTCTGCCAGGGATGAAGCCCACCTGATCTGCGTGGACCAGTCTCTGGAGTAGTAGGGGTTTAAACATGCCGCCAGTATCTTATCTAGGACCTTGACATCATGGTTGATCAAGGATATAGGTCTGTAGTTTTTCAGGGCTGTATTAACACTGTCCAGCTTTGGTATCAGAACAATGCTTGCCAGGGACATGTCCCGGTCTATAGGGCCCCCTTCCATGAGGTCATTAAACCATGTCTTCATGTGTGGAACCAATTCTTCCCTCAAGGTCTTGAAGTAGCTGCCGTCAACACCGTCCGGTCCTGGGGCTTTATTGCCTTTCAGAGACAATATTGCTGCATCAATTTTGACTTCTGTTATTTGGTTCAGGTGGCATACATTCCTGGTTTGTCCAACACGGAGGCAGATTGGAACTCCCTGTTTCTGTCAAACGCCAGTGACTCCATCCTTCTGGTGCAGTGTCTTTTGAAAGACATGGAGGTGAGTAGTGTCTTACCCTGATTTAGTTATCAGTGTCCTCCTTTTTTGGTGTCTCTGTTTCCTTCCCTCCCTTGTTCTCCTTTTTTCTTGTGCACAGGCAGTTTACGATTATATGTTGATTATATATAATTATATATATATATTATATGATTACATGTTTGCATCTTATATTCTTGATATATTGTGGTTTTTTATAGTTATGTCTTTTACATATAGAGTTGTTGTCGGGTGCATGGGACTAATCTATGTACTTTGACTAGGGGATTTTTTTCTGTTATACCTTTTGTACATGTTTCCTTTGCTGATGACACTGATTAATCGGGTCTACACCCTTTTTTACCTTTTGTCTTTCAGCCTAATGTTTATGGTTCATTCAGTCTCCCCTGGAACCATTTTCCCTTTGGACCCATCATATTGTTTGATTTCCTGCCCCTGTTCTTCTTAATTCTGGTTCTCACTGTTGTACCGTTTTGTTACTGTTTTTGTGCCCTCTTACCAAGAAAGAGACTGGGGGGAGTGCCTAGTGATATAATTTGGCTGGAGGGTATCTGGGACATGCTGCTGCTGTTGGGAAATAAAGAAAGGGTTAAAGAGTTACTCCAATTACCATAACCACTTCAGTGACTTGAAGTATTCATAGAGGTAGTGTGTATGTGAAGTATATAAATGAACAGTATAGGGTCATCATCAGAATTGAGGATCTTTCTCATAGGCAAGCAGTGGATTGTCTGAGATCTTCACTTCTGATGATCTCAGCCAAGGAGGCAGGCCAGGAGTGGAGAAAAAGGCCGCCATGGCGATTAAATGCATCTCTATGGGGAAAATTCAGCACCTGACTGTGATAGGGCTAGTAAGGGGATGACTGTGGCAAAATGAGAGGGTAAGTGTAACAAGGTGAGGAGGGAGGAGGGTGAATGTAGTAGTGTGAGGGGATGAATATGAGATGATTTAGGTGGTGTGCATGGCAGCATTTGTGGGTAGGTGTGACAGTGGGTGTGACACTGGCAGGGTCGGTGAGTATGACAGGGTTAGGGGGCTGAGTGTGAAAGGTGGGGAATGGATGCGTGCAGGGCTTAATGAAGTGGTCTGGGTGCCAGGTCCCTCTAGGATTAACCCTTTTTTTTATCCTTTTCAGAGAAACTGCTATGTTTATAAATGGGTTAATCCAGCCTCTAGTGGCTGTCTCATTGACAGCCGCTAGAGGCGTCTGCGTGCTTCTCACTGTGAAAATCACAGTGAGAAGACGCCAGCGTCCATAGGAAAGCATTATGAATGCTTTCCTATGAGACAGGCTGAATGCGCGCGCAGCTCCTGCCGCGCATTCAGCTGAAGAGGAGGAGAGGAGGCGGAGAGGCCCATGCTAATGCAGCTGCAAACACATGCCCATTGATTTAAAGAAATTTAAAACTATATATATATATATATATTTTTTTTTTTATTATAATTTTTTTCTACTACTCTTCACTTAAGTATGGAAACTTAAGAGGGATGTAGAGGAACAAACCTGTTGTGGACTGGCTGACAATGAAATCAGTTAAGATAAAGCTGACTTTGCACACTATGCAAATGCTCTTGCTGCTTCAGTCTCTCTAACAATGTGGCATGTTCCCTTTCTTCTACACTCATTACATACACCTTTTCTCTGCCCCAGACTGTATAAGAGGAGCTTCTGCCTACTAGTAAGAAAGATAGGAGAGGAACTAGCGAATGTTAGGGGAGAGTCCTTAGAAAGTGTAGAGCGCATCATTAGACGCATTTATGCCAAGCTCAGGGTGCTGTCTGTATAACACACCCTTGATTGGTCACCCTGCATGATTGGCAGGCAGCCTGACGTGCATTCACACCAGACTAACCATCTAATTCTATTTTACAGACACGTTCCTTTTTGGGCATGTTTGTCCCTTTGGGCAGTACTGGTTACATGATTCACATCAGTGGCACACCCTTTTACCCCGCTCACTGAAATCCTGCTTCACCGGACACTGCTGGTAGGGGGTATGGATTTACTTGTAAAATGAAAGTGAGAGAGTAGCATAGGGTATGTGTTTTCTGATAGCTATATCCTGTGGGTTCCCTCCAGCACCACCTCCACCAGATACATGACGTTTGTGAGGTAGAACAGTTTTAGTGTTTCTGTCCATAAGATTCTGTAATTAGGCCCATCATAATTGTCAGCACCAGGCCCAATGGGCTCTTAATCTGGACCTGGATAAGTGTGGCAGATGTAGGGGTGAGTGTGGCAGGGTAAGGGGTGATGTTATATAGAGTTAGTGTGGCAGGGTGTGTGGCAGGGTAAGGGGTGATGTTATATAAAGTTAGTGTGGCAGGGTAAGGGGTGATGTTATATAGAGTTAGTGTGGCAGGGTGTGTGGCAGGGTAAGGGGTGATGTTATATAAAGTTAGTGTGGCAGGGTAAGGGGTGATGTTATATAGAGTTAGTGTGGCAGGGTGGGGTGATGTTATATAAAGTTAGTGTGGCAGGGTATGGGGTGATGTTATATAAAGTTAGTGTGGCAGGGTGGTGAGTGTGACAAGTTTGGGAGTAAGTGCGATACGGTGAGGGGTGGTGAGAATCTGTGGCAGGGTAAGTGGCAAGATTAATGGAGCGTGTGTTGGGCAGGAAGAAGGGAAATAATACATCCCCTAGTGGTCCTATAAATTCCCTTGTGGACTAATGGGCTGTTGGTGGCCACTGGCCTTCAAGTCAGGGAGATTTTTTTTACCTCCAGGCTGGATTATGGGTTGGGGAGGAGGGGCATGAGGACATCTATCATAGTATCACTGAGTCAAACGCTGTGAAACTCCAGGAAGGGCATCTAATAGCTGTCTTAATACAAGTTACTCTAAAACTACAATGATTTACATTGCAGAAATATGGGGTACAGGAAAAGTGCACCTAGACCACTTCAATTAGATGAGGTAGTCTGGGTGCCTATAGTGTCCCTTTAAGGTAGTACGAAGTAAACACATTTTCCTGTGTTTACAGGAATTCATCCTGTAAGAATGCAATAACTCAAGATACTGACCTCACTGTCAAACACATAGCTCCAAAATTGCAGGTCTCACCGTCAAAATATAGTCTTCAAAGATATATTCATTTAATGTACAAACCATTAATCACTTAGACACAAGACCGAAGTGGCATAGAGAGTTCTCACCAATTACTAAAAAAGTTATCAAAAACTGTATTTCTATTTCAAATTATAAACATTTCTAAAGCCCAAAAAATTTATTTTGTTTGTAAAAGCAGTATAATCTGAATGGGTTAAAGGACAGTGACAGGTTATGAATTTCTGTAGTCATAAAATATAAAAATAGATTCTTCCTGGATCCAAAGAGCAAATCTCCCAGACAGCACAGGCATCTCAATCCAGCTCTCAATTACATAGTAACCACACACTTTACAGCAGTTGTACACGTGACAGGTGTATAGTCGCCATTTGGGCAGTCGGAATCCAGGACAACCAACCCAATATCCTAACCCAATAACGCACAGACACTAGGGAATATGGGAAATTTTGTCCACAGCTTTATTATTAATCAAATAATAATAGTAACAATAATAATAATAACTTAACAAGTAAAACATCATTGCCCCCCATACTCCGCCCTCGCATCCTATTCCTTCCATTAACATATAAAAGGAAATGACCCCCATATAAATAACACATACACATACACATACCATACACCAACATTAGTCCAATAACAATTTAAAGTGCCAACCATCCATTAACCATGGCAGGGGTATACCCGGATACCCCTACCCCACCAGGTTCTGAGCCACCATCAGGACTCGAAACCTATCAACCACCGATGACCACAACTTGTTTGTTTTCCATTACGTTCATCCTGGGGAGCCTATTTCTTCTCCTTCAGCTTCCCATCCCGCCGCTGTGAAAAAACGGGATAACCCCACACAGAACAAAACCAGGGAGGGTGGGTGGGACAGACTCAATCAGGTAGGAAATTAGAAATGACTCACCTAAAATGGCTGCCTATTTAAATAGCCAAACCTACTTACCCATAACTCCACTCCTTGCTTACTTCCTCCTGTCCCCAGTCGGGGACCGTCCCCGCCGACCACACCCGGGGACAATTGCCCTGCCCTCCGCTGAGCTGCCTGACGTGGAGTGGTGCCGCCGGGACCTACCCACCCTCCCCCTGGACCCCAAGGTTCTAACCGGCGAAGGACTGCCACTGCTACACCCTGAACCAGACCCCCCCTAAGGCCACGCACCCCCAACTGCCTACCCTCCAGGAGAGAACCCAACCCCCCACCTAAGCTGACTCCTCGCCTAACCGCTCCCTGAACCCCCTTCACCTTACAGGCAGCCTTAGCCCCTCCTTCCCCCTTTCCAGGCCTACCCGACCCAGACTGATCAGGCCTACCCCCAGAACCCGTGGAGGACCCACTCACTATCCCAGAAGAGCCCACTATCTCCTTACCACCCCCAGCCCCCACCTCCCCTATGGCACTCCCCCCTCCCGTGGCCCCATCCCCCACTAGGGATCCCAGGAAGGCCTGCCTGCCCCCCACTGTCACTCTCCGGCCCCCACCCCTTGCTGAATCCCCCCCAGCACTTTTCCCGCCAAGAGGGCCCCGGCCGGAGCCCCCTGTACTTGCCTGCTGCCCCAGGGGCCGGCCGCGTGTCCTCCCGGTTCCGGCCCCGTCGTCCACCAGCTCCGACGGGGTGGGAGCCCTCCTGGGCCGCACCTCCGTGCTCCCCGATCTTCCAGGGGGCCGTCCGGTCACCTCCGACCCGGGAGCCGCGACGTCCCCGTCCTGGACATCCATTCGCCGCCGGGCACTGGTCCTAGGCCCCGGCCGCTCGCGGGGAGGCGAGGCCTCTATCACGCGGCTACCGGGCCTGCTGCCACCCGCACCGGAATCGCCATGACCTCCAGGGATGCCTTCACGGGGCCCCATGCCCGGGCTTAGCCTCTCCGGTGGCCTCCTGGCCCAGACCGGACTGCCACCACCGCCGTCCCGTTCCGCCGCCTCCGCCAGGGCCGGTCCCAGCTGGGCCCGCAGCCAGTCTGCACCCTGATGCCTCGCCGCCGACCGGATCCCCTCCAGCAGTCGCTCCACATCGTCCATCGGCCCTGCAGGGAGACAAAGGAAGAAAAAACCCTACCAAGCCAAATCTGTGAACACAGAAGTGAACACAGACTCAACCAGGTAGGAAATTAGAAATGACTCACCTAAAATGGCTGCCTATTTAAATAGCCAAACCTACTTACCCATAACTCCACTCCTTGCTTACTTCCTCCTAAGCCCGCCTCCTAACCCCTGTCAAGGCCTTTTTCTGCTTAGCTGCGCTCTAGCTACATGGGGCTACATTAATATAATGGAACGCGGAAAAGGACAAAAATATACATGTTGTATTACAAGTATAGTACGAGAAGAGTTGCTATAAAAATTGTAACAAGCAAAATGGACATAAAATTGAGTAGTGAGCTGACTTTCACTTTTTATAGAGGAGCTTTCGTGCCTGTTATTCTTTCTCCTGTATGGTATCACCAATATTAGCAATAAATTAAGCATAGCCCTGAACACCAAACATTATGCATTTCATTGTCTGTACATTGTCACAGCTAAAATGGGAAGGATCCCCAATAAGGAAGTTGTATAAAACTCTAACAGAGAAATAATTTTCCTGCCTTATTTGTTTGCTTATTAGTTTTTGCAGACTGAGCCCCAGCATTTTTTGTTTTCCGCAGGGATGGAGCAAGGATTTTTGGATATAGAGGCGAAGAGGCATTTTGCCAGCCTTTGCCTGTGTAGGCCTATGTGTCTCTGTGTGCAACTGCAGTGCATGCCCCAAATTTAGCGGGAGAGGAAGGGAGACTTGTCAGTAACAGTCTCCTGTGGGCGAGATGAGCAGCGTTGAGAGAAGAAAAAGGTAAGTAAAAAGTTTTTGTTTGTTTTTTTATTCTCTTTTTATTAGCAGGTTCAGAGATTGTGTACAGTGATGCAAAAAATGGCATATAAAAGAACCAACACATTTTTTGTTTTAAGTATGCGAAAACATGTGACACTAAATACCCCAAATTAACATAAAATAAAAAGTGACCTTGGGGTTTGGTATCATAGTTAAAGGTCTTATTATGGGGGGTGTGAGTGAGCACTGCAACTAAAAATGCAATGTTGGCAGGAGTGCATAAGGCGATGAGTGCTAAAATTAAAATAGAGTAACGTTGTAAAACAGATAAAGATGTTGGAGGGGCACTTGACATCTAGAGGGATAAAGGAATACCCAAAACATTAAATCTCAACATCAGCTTTTAATGTTGGACTGCTCCTCAAATACATGAATATTATATTAACATTTCTGTATATATTCTAAACATAAAAAATATATGCATATCTTTATATGCTAATATGTGTGTGTGTGTGTGTGTGTGTGTGTGTATGTGTGTATATATATATATATATATATATATATATATATATATATATATATAAAGAAAGTAACCTTGGCACTCACCCTTATCCAGTTACTAAACAAAATTCTTGCCTAGGTGCAACCTCAGCGTTTCCATATAGATCCAAAAAGGTAATAGGTGCACTTTTAGGTCTTGTTCCAATCTTTCTTTTATTTAATTGTGCAAATTACATGTACAAAATCAAATACTTCCGACCAATGTTTCGACCCCTATAGGGTCTTTTTCAAGATCTTATATACATACATGTCAGTACGTGCTTGCGCATGCGCACACTGTCGTGTTACTTCCGTGTTCGGGAGTACAGGCGAACACAATCACTCACCTATGGTAAGTCACTTATTTGTAATAACATATATATATTGATGCACATTATTATATGTTATGAATCTTAATAAAGACCCAGGAGGGCCAAAACGTTGATTTATATATATATATACACATACACATTTTTTTTAAACTTAAACCTTGAAGTTTTAAAGACACACACACATACACACACACAAACAAACTAATTGTCACACAAACACACACACCTTCTGACACAAACTCTGACACACAAACACACTCGCCGACAGAAACATACACATACTCAGGTCCAGCCCGTTCATTAGTCCCGGTGTGACCATGGCTCCAGAGGGCAGTTTTCCAAAATGTCGCCCCGGTACACTTAAAGTTGCCTGCTGGGGGGCCAGGGCTGCCTGTTTGCATAAATATATAGCGATTACCGCTATCTATATATCTATATATATGCTGTTCCGGGCCCCCGCTACCTTGTTCTGTAAAGAGGGGCCCAATAGTCTAAGTCTACACACACACACACACACACACACATTGCATCCATTACACACACATTGCATCCATTACACACACTGCATCCGTTACACACACACTCTGCACGGCTGCACCCACTACACACACACTGTATATCCACTACACACACACTCCGCATCCACTATACACATGCACACAATACATTCACTATACATACTGCATCCCCTACACAGACACTGCATTCACGTCACATACTGCATAACATAATAGATGTGTGTGTGGTTTTCGTAGGAGGTGAGCAGCATTTCATCTTTGGACCCAGGCAGCACAGTATCTTGGGCTGGTACTGTACACACTCACTGACATATTGTCACACAAACACACTCAGAGTACACAGAACACATACACTGATCCATACACATAGATAAACATACACACACTGACCCACACACCCACACTGCACTTTCTCTCACACTCTGCTCAGTCCCATCACTTATTTTTCTTGCCAGGTTCTGCCCAATGCCTTCCAGTATCAGTGCCAGCCACCAGTATATGATATCATGCAGTATCCCGGCAGCCTTCAAAATGCAAAGAACAGCTATGTTGTACTACTGCTCATTTACAAAATTCTACTAGAAATAAAAAATGTACAGCGATATCAGCCTCCAGGCGACCGAGCCCAGTAGTCAGTGCCAGCCAGCTACTAATAGCAGCCCATCGGGAAATGTCTTGTTATTCCCTTGTGGCCTGCACAGAAGTGGTAGGGGGGACTCTGTGCACACCCCTCACGCCTTTTACCTACACCGTAACGTACATGTTCTCCCATCAGCACACTATACCTGCGGAGAAAAATTAGTGCTGGAACGGAGTTAAGTTTTAGCTTTATTTTATGGATTTATTTTTAATTTAGGAGAAGGGATGGACTAGCACAGTAATGGTTCCTCTAACAAAAACACTGTTTTATGAAAACACTGATTTTTGGTTAGACTAACCCTTTAATACACATTATTAAAAGATAAGCCTGGTTTTAATCTTAAGAACGCCCCTCAACTTAATACCAACATAGGAAGATAAAACTAGGAATTATTCAAGAAAACCGAGGATATGTGGCAGGTATAAATAATGATGATACTAAAATATGCCATGCGTGGATAATCAATATAATAAAGGTATTGGATTTATATTATGTTACTACATGTTTTTGGAATCTATGGGATTAAAAAAAAAATTAAAAATTCCATAGAAAGAATTTATGACTCCTGAAATAGGAACACGTAAAACAGAGATAATTTAACTATTGATATGTTTATAAAATATTAACTTTTACAGCCAGGATTAGACCTAAAGGAGAAAGTTTATTTATTTTTTTTTTTTTTGAATTCTTTATTTTTGGTCTGACGAAGAGGTCAACACAGAAATATGCAGGTGTACATATGCAAGTGACAGCGCAGTGTCGTACATTTTTACAGAGTGAAAGTTGCATTGGTTATTTTAAACACTTTACCGACACTTTATACCCTGCGGACGTCCCCGTCCGATATTTTCGGTTATGCTGGCAAGCACAATTAACTATATACAATGGTGGTAGTGTGGAGGGGTAGGCGTAGGGAGTAGAGTAGCAGTCCCAGACCTCTCAGGGCCCGTGACTGCTCCCCCGACTTCCCCCATTGTCTGCAGAGCATAAGCGTACTGAAGCCTGACTCCTCTTTCACCAGCTTGCGAGTCTGGAGTGCCTGCTTGTAATAAGTAGGTAGAGGTGAGAGATAGGAAAGTATAGACAAGTAAATGCGTTTAGGTGTCGTCTTAGTATGGTTTCCCGAGGGACCAGTAGCAGAGGTCCCCGGGTTCCCCGGATAGCACTCCGTGTGGTGTGTGTGTCCGTGCCCCTGTCCCATAGTGGCGCCTCTTCCACCGGTCCAGGCGCTGGTGTAGTATTTAGCATTGGGTATGTCCCAATTATTGCCATTTTTGCGGAGCTCCCGCATGCCGCCCTACGCCCCGATTCAGGATTTAACTGTCGTATTGCTCCCACAGGTCCCAGACCTTCTGAAACTTAGTCATAGTGTTTCGCACCTGTGCTGTTAATTTATCCATTATGTAATTGTCTCGCATTTTTGCCTTTACCAGGGCTATTTGTGGGAGGTCTGGGCATGACCACTGTTGTGCTAGGGCCCTTCGGGCCGCTAGATATAGCATGTTGAGAAGTCTTTGTTCGTGTCTGGGGAGGCCCTCTGTGGGCCTTGATAGCAGGCACGCCCATGGGTCTAGCGTCAGTCGTTGTTTTAGGATTTGTGAGCCGAGCTCTACTATGTTACGCCAGTATGCTTTGATCTCTGGGCATTCCCACCACATGTGGATGTATGTGCCCCGTCCCCCGCACCTATGCCAACAGTCGTCTGTGGGGTTCAGTCCCATGTGTTTCTGTTTTACCGGGGTCGTATACCATCGGAATAGCGTCTTATAAGATTGTTCTTGGAGTGTTACACACATTGTGGTTCTGGAGCATGCCTCCCAGATATCTTGCCACTCCGTGCCCTCCAGGACCTCCCCCAGGTCGGCTTCCCATTGGTCAGTGTAGCGTAGCGTGCCCTCCCCTCCCGTTGCCCCATTAAGGTGATTGTACAGTAGTGTTATAAGTTTAGTTTGTGTGGTTTCATCGTGACAAAGTTTTTCGAAAAAGGTTAGTGGAGTCAGGGCCGCTTTTTGCACCTCGGGCTTTTGCGCGAAGTCTCGAATCTGTAGGTACCTGAAATAGTCTCTTGTTTGTAAGGTGGCTTTGGTGCATAGGTGGTCGTATGTGACCACTTTTTGGTTCACAAATAAATGGACATAGCGTTGGAGTCCCGTGGCCTCCAGTCCCTTGTAGTCTCGCGCCCTCATGCCTGGGGGAAAATCTCTGTTTCTGAGGACCGGCGTCATGGGAGATAAGCGGGGGCTAAGGGCGTATTTAGTTTTGGTTTGGTCCCATATCTGTATGGAATTGAGTATGGCCGGGTTTGTGGTTCGTAGTATGGCTCTTTGAGTTCTAGGTGCCCATATGTGAAACTGTGGAAGGTCTTGTCCTGTCATTAATGATTCCAGATCCACCCACCGTCTCCTGTCTGGAGGTGCGTGCCATTGTATGACCTGAGTTAGCTGCGCTGCTAAGTAGTAGGCGTATAGATTAGGCAGTCCCAGTCCCCCTCTGGGTTTTGGTCGGTACATAAGTTCGCGAGCTATTCTTGGGCGTTTGTTGTGCCAAATGAAGGAGTCTATCGCCCTTTGTATGCCTGCGAGGTCTCCTTTGGTAACTCGTACCGGGAGTGCCTGGAAGAGGAACAAGAGCCTCGGTAGCACATTCATTTTTATAGAGTTTACGCGTCCCAGCCAGGAGATGGGCCTGTCTGTCCACTGCTCCAGTTCAGTATGGAGGGTCCGGAGTAGGGGCGTGTAGTTTCGTGTAAAGAGAGAGGATGTATTAGCTGTCAGGCGGATCCCTAGGTACATGACTTCGTCTGTGGCGATCTTGAAGTGATATGTGCGGTGTATGTGGGCAACGTCTGGGGGCTCTAGGTGGAAGGGCATTGCCACTGACTTGGAGTAGTTGATTTTGTACCCCGCTATATCCCCGAAACGCTCCAGGACTTGTGTTAGATGATAGAGCGAGGGTATCGGTTCCCTTAGTGTTAGTAGGATATCGTCGGCGTATGCCGAGACCGTGAAGGGTGTGCCACCAATTTCAATGCCTTTAATGTGTGGGTGTTGCCGAATAGCTTGTAGCAGCGGCTCTAGAGTTAGAGCGAAAAGTAAGGGGGACAGGGGACAGCCCTGTCTGGTGCCGTTTCGCAGGGTGAAGGGTGTTTTGTGTGCCCCCGTGATGAGTATTTGTGCCCTCAGGTCAGTGTATAATGCTTGTATTGCTGTTACAAAAGTTGTTGGGAACCCCTGGAGACGGAGTAGTTCGAATAAATAAGGCCACAGCACCCTGTCAAATGCCTTCTCCGCATCCAGTGAGAGCGCCAGAGAGGGCGCCTTGGATTCCCCCATGTGCCATGTTGTGCTAACCCCTCGTCGTGTGTTTTCATAGAGTTGGCGTCCGGGCAGGAAGCCCACCTGGTCTGGGTGGATCAGGCGCGGGAGAAGGGGGTTGAGTCTGGATGCTAATATTTTAGCGAATATCTTGAGGTCGGTGTTGATGAGGGATATTGGCCTGTAGCTGGGGGCTAATGTGTCATCTTTCCCGGGTTTTGGCAGTAGTACTACATTTGCCGTTGCCATATCTCTGTCGGGTTTCCCGCCCTGCATAAAGTGGTTACTGAGGACTGTGAGTGGGGGGGCCAATACTTCTTTAAATTGTTTGTAATAACTGACGTCATATCCGTCAGGCCCTGGTGCCTTATTGCCTTTCAGGGAGGTTATGGCTGCCTCCACTTCGAGTTGTGTGATAGGGTCTCTAAGTGCGTCAGCATCTGCTTGGCTCACTTTTTGGATGGTAAGTTCGGTGAGGAATTGGTGGATGCGTGTCATGTAAGTCGCGTTGGTGGCCTGGAGGTGGGGGGAGTAATTGTAGAGGTCTGAGAAATATGATGTAAACACTTCACTAATGGCGTCCGGCGTCTTTGCTAGTGTGTTCGTTGTTGTACGTATTTTCGTTATGGTTTTGCCTTGCGGCCGTGGGCGCAAGACCCTAGCCAAGAGTGTATCCGTCTTATTTGCCTTTTCATAGAATAGGCGTTTCGACCACAGTAAGGAGCGCGATACCGCCTCCAGCGTAATGTCCCTGATGGAGTGCCTAAGTGCGTTTAGTTCCCTGAGGTTCGTGTCAGTTGGGCTCGTTTTGTGTTGTTGCTCCTTTTTACGGAGGGCTGACTGTAGGTCGAGCAGCTGTTTTGTTTTGGCTCGCTTTTTTTGGGTGGCTAGTTTAATGAAGTGGCCGCGTAGGACTGCTTTGTGTGCTGCCCAGATCGCGGTGGGGTTAGCTTCGGAAGTAGCATTGGTTTCAAAGTATTCTGTGATAGCCTGTCGGGTCAATGTTTGTATGTTGTCGTCCCTCAGGAGGCTAGTGTTGAGCCTCCATGACCAGTTGGATTTATAGCATAAGTTGTCTAACGTAAGTGTTACGTCCGCGTGATCTGACCACGTGATGCTGTTAATGTCTGAGTGGAGGAGTTTGGCCATCCCTGCCCCATTAAGGAACATGTTATCTATTCTGGAGTAGGTGTTATGTGGTGCGGAGTAAAATGTGTAGTCAGATGTGGTTGGGTGCTGCAGCCGCCAAGCATCCAGTAGGCCTGTGTGTGTCAGGAACGTGTGTAATAGCTTATCTTGGCTCCCCCTGCTCTGTGATCTCACAGTACCAGGTTTTGAGCTTCTATCTGCCGCCGGGCTTGGCACCGCGTTGAAATCTCCTCCAACGAGGAGAACCCCCCCTCTAGCCCCCGCCACCAGCATCTCTAGGTTTGTCCAGAAGAGCTGATCTGGTTCGTTGGGTGCGTATACGTTAATGATGTGTATTTTTGTGGTGTATAGAGTGCCTCCTATGTATAGGAATCTCCCCTCTGGGTCGGTTTGGATGGTGGTGACGTGTAGGGGGCAGTGTTTATGCAGGAGGATCGCCACGCCTGCTCTCTTACGTTGGGAGCGTGCTTCGTGTACTATCGTGTAGGTTCTGTCAGTTAGTCTGGTGGGCGCCGACCTGGGGAGGTGT